AAAGATCCCAACCACATATCGGTCTGTGCATCCAAGTACAAGTCGAATGGCATCTGGGGCATCAAGCTTGCCCAAAAGGAAGTGAGTCGTGTGACTTGATGAAATCTAGGGGTCACCTGAAAAAACTGTTCAATCTTTGGTGAAGCCTCACCAAGATGTCCCTGATGAGAAGATTGCAGAGATCGCTGTATCTTGGTGACAACGTTTCAAAAGCCGTGTCTTATGTCATACATTCTTCTTTCATAGGTCACAGGTAAGCTGCGGTGATCAAAGTTGTGAATTTTTGACATGTTTGTTAGCCCAATTGGGTTGGGTGCCAAAAATGCTTTTTACCTGAGGCAGCAGTCAAAGCGGAGCTGATTCGAACCAAAGGCTCTGGGGAAGCTGGCCAAGCACTGTATGTGGCTTGGCATGGGAGATGCATATCAACTTAGACCCTGGGGTATATCGCCCAGAATGCATACTGGTGGATGTGTTTAACCCTGGTTTGTTCAACAAAGGAAAGTGCTTCTAGACGTCTATCATTCTTCAAAGTATTTGCCGTGAGCACATAGCAGCCCACCCCATCAGAGTTTCAACAAAGGTATTTGTCACTGCAATGTTCTCTTGCAATCTCGAATCTATTTGAAAACCCCTTTGTCAAATCCAAGCGCATGTTTCTCAAATCTGGATTCGTGATACACATGTTTGTGTAAAAATACATCATCAAATATTTACTCTCAAGTCTGGGTTGCCACAAACATTCCTATGGTCTCAACCCATATATTTTTTGATCGAAATATCTGGTTGATCCTGATATTCCCAAAAATCTATTGCCAATCTCGGCAACCCAGGAATCGATGAGAAATGCAGCCATCAGCGAAGCCCAGGCTGAGATCAAGGCTTCGAAAGGCCCTGAGCCAGCGTTCGATGAGAAAGCAGAGATAGAAGATCTTTCAGCTACACGGGGATGGAAGACTAAGAGGGTGAGGAGGAAGCAGAGCAAGTTGAAGATGAAATGGAGGACTGGATATTTCCAGATTCACAGTGAATCTGTTTCATCTCAATCAGTCATTTGTGAGTCTCATTTATTTTTGAACCAATCAATCAATCATTGAAACCAACAAACACCATGGACCATTTAGTTTCTTCGCAGGAGGGAGTCACAGCAGACTGAGCGTCGCCTGCATGCCTTGCGTTTGGCGCTGACTTGCACCTGAGCCACCACATGCCATCGATCGAAAAAAAGGACTGAATTCAGTGACGGGAAACACATTGGAAACATATTGGCTGAATTAACTGACTTGATCAGCAAAAAAAGAGTACATACATTGGAAACACATTGCATGATTAGAGTCATTGTGAGCACATACATTGGAAATCAATCATTGTGATCCAAACTACATTCCATAGGTTTTGTATCACGGATTTAGCCCATAGAAACTTTTCGCGGCAATTGATCGACAGCCCATAGAAGCTTTTCGCGGCAATTGATCGACTGATGGCAGTGGAACCGGATTCACTAGCTGCTCTTAGAAAGATGGGAATCTCGACTTGAATTCATGCTATTATTTCACATGTCTAGCTGGCCTCAAATGTCTCATACCAAGCAGGGATTCCGTGGGATGGCATTGGGATCCCTGATGGGTATGATTTTGAAGTCATAGCTGGCAATGGTGATGTTGCCCCTTTCCCCAAAGTGACAAGCAGTGAAGATGTTCGCATCCATGCTTTGCTCTTGTGGATTTACAATTGGTTTGTGAACTATACACCTGGTGACACAGTCATGGTGAATGAAGAATGCGTCTACTTTGTGAAGGAAACAACCATGACTGTTGAACCTGAATGGTCGGTTCGTGTGAAGTGTTTCTCGGTTGGGAACAGGAACATCAAACCATAAATTTTCGAATCTCTAGCGACAACAAAGCAGCGTGATCTGCGAGCGATAGCAGGTGGGCGAAAAAAACAGCGAAACTGTCCGTTGCAGATTTGGTTTCAAAGCCTAGAGCCAAACCCAAGAGTCAAAAGAATGTATCCAACCATTTTCGCTCAGGTTTCCGGCTGACTGGCAGGCGAGTTTGCGACACCCTATGGCCCACAATGGTTCAACAAACAGGTTTTGTTTGAATTGACATGGTGGCAAAATAAAACATGACCAAAGCACCGCCAAAGTAAAGATATCTATAAGTCTATAACTGTACTTAAATAATTCCGGGTGGATTTATAAATAATTCTGAATTCTGGGTTGATTTATTCTGTTTTGGTCTCCAAATGAGACAATGTGACTTCCAGTTTCTTTTTTGATTTTGTCCCACTTGGGGCCCCCACGTTCCAGGTGATGACCATCACCAAGAGCCAGTTGGCCGGCGGAGTGGTGGAGTTGGCAGGGGACCTCCCCATTTATATCATATGTATGTATATATATATATGTATATGTATATATATATATATGTATATATATAAATATGTTTATTTATGTTTTCGAGATCATATGTATGTAAGGATATAAAGCTATAGGGTACCCATGGTATGCATACATATAGACATGGTTTTGAGAAGGTTTTGTAGAAAACCAAACGCACACTTTAGAAAAAAATAGATCCCCATTCTGTTTGTAAACAAATCCCATCGAAATTGCCAAATCAAAAGATGGTTTTCCGGCGGGGCGGGGGGGAATCTTTTTTTACTGCTCGCGGAAAGTCTTAATGACGCGCTTTCTGTCACCAAACATGAGCACTGCACACTGGCTCAAAAGCACTTTCATGTTGCTGCTGCGTGGTCATAAGTGGCATTGGTTGGCCCCATGATGGTGGCTGTGTGGTCAAAGTGGTATTGATTGGCACCATGATGGTGGCTGTGTGGTCATAAGTGGCTTTGATTGCCCTCCAAAACCCTAGATCCTAGATACACAGCAAAGCCCTGAACAAGGAACCAGAAATACAAAAAAATACCTATTAGTATTTTTTTTTCCTTACCTAAATTAGTTAAGTTTTCTTGCCTTAACTAATTTTTTACCTAACTTTCAACGAAAGTTTGCACGCAAACTTTCAACCCCGCCTCGCAAGTTTGCGCGCAAACTTTCAACCTCCCCTCGCAAGTTTGCATCCAAACTTTCAACCTCGTCTCGCAAGTTTGCATGCAAACTTTCAGCCTCGCCTCGCAAGTTAGTTGCACGCAAACTTTCAACCCCACGTGCCGAATTACCGTAAAATTAGGTTACATTTTTACCTTAAAAACTACCTAATTAGGTGGGAAATAAGGAATTAACTATTAGACAGGAAATTGCCTAACCTGATCTTTGGGGCAGTTCAATGCCATTGCTCGTTCAGTTGCTTGAGGTTCATCTCCAAGTCCACCAAGAAGACCAGTGTAAGAGTCATCCTCATTCCAGGCTTGTTCATCATGCCAATGCTCATCCCAATGCTGCTCATCAACGTCCTCCCCATCGGGGTAGGCGGTGTAAGCTGAACGTGGGTACAAACCCTTTCCAGAAGAAGATGTATACTTCCCCTTTCCGGGGCCCTTTCCACTCGACGTTCCAGGCAATGTAGATGTAGGTACACGTCCTGTCCAGGATCGGGATCCTTCATGTAGATGTATCTGTCCATACTGTTCGACAAGTACCTTGGCGACACCTTCAAAGTCTTTCGAAGTTGCACATGCTCGGACTACCAGTCCTTCTTGTCGTGATAAAACAGACAATTCAAGCATCAGTTCCATCCTAAGTGAGTCAAGCAACTGCATCGAAGGGTCTAGCTCTATCAGAGTCTTCCACCATCGTCTACGCCGCTGTGTGTAGCTCAACATAGGTTCCAATGATTGTCTTGCCAATGGTCCACTAATCCTCTCACCAGCTCGAAACAACTCTTTTGCTTCTTCCTGCGCTCTGGGGAAAACATGAGCCTTGATCTGAGTGATCAAATCCTCCAATCCTCCAGGTGCAGTCAGCTAATCGAGTCCAACATCACGAGCAATTGCAAAAGCATCACCACGTAGTCCTTCAACGATCTTGCTGACGAGAGGTCCACGATCAACAGGCTTTGTCGAAGTCGATCTCGCTCCACCGGCTTTACCGGAGCTCGGAGTCGAGGGAGGTTTCGAAGTGTTTTTTTGTCCTGACAAGTCTGAAAACGTAGGCATGTCCTCGGTCTCCTCATCCTCGTCCTCTGCAGCCACAACTGGGTCTGCAGAAGCTGATTCAAACAAGAGTATCCTCAGACGTGTCCTGAATTCCCAATCATGAAAATGTCCAGCGTCTCCATGGTAAATGTAGGATCCTGACTTCGTCTCCAAAGGTGTAGAGCCATACTGCCCCTGAAGGAACTTCAATCCATTCACGGACATGGCAATCTTCCGTCCCTACGGGATCGGGAGGTCCGCACAGCAGTGAGTCAGACGATTGCAGAACCTTCCTCAACTTGAGGTCGGCAAATTTCAAGAATAGCGAGATTCAAATTGTCTTGTCGGAGTTGCACAAACAAAGATTCCCTGGGTCTGCGACGTACCAGGAGTCAGGTCGTCACCTGCTCCGCTACCAATGTGAATTTGGTACGGAATCGTCAGCAGCCCGCACTTTTTAGCGTAAGCGAACGAGCTCAAGGGCCCTATTGTCCAAATGGCAACAGCATGTACATATCAACCCGGTGTTCAAATGTATGTGACATAAGGTCAGATTGACACTTGTAAATCCCGTTTGTTGTAACGGGCCGCACACTTGGAGACGCACCCGCATGCATGCACATGAACAAGGGCACCAGCACACGCTGACTCCATACTTTGGCCCAAGATTCAAACCTGAAGAGTGAGAACGTGTTTGGGCCGCGTTTGCCGCGCAACATCATAAGACTCGGAGGGTAGATCTGCAACCCGTGTCCCCATTTGAGAAGTTCAGTTCTGATTTTGCTATTGAAATGACAGGTGGTTCCAGGAGTTTCGGGCAATCTTAAGGAAACCAGACTGAACCGGGTAAAGAAACGGTTAGAAAGTCGACAAGAATGAGAAAGCGGAAAGCGGCGAATGGCCTTCAAGCCCACTGTACTCTGCTTTCACGCCAATCTGCAACATGCAGAAGCAGAAACTAAAAAGAACTCAAGAATTGGACCGATTGAACTCACTTGTTCAACCACTATAATGAATCGCTCCACAGCCCGCACTTGTAGAAGTTCATCTTCATACAGAACGGCATCGTTCATGAGGCACAGCCGCCTGACAATCGCCAATTTCACACACAGCATTTCAATGCATTTCAACAGCTTCTGTCTAGCAAAGAACAAGCTACCACGCCATAGCGAGGAAACCGCAAAGCATCCGACAGGTGTTGAAGCTTTCCCAGATTTTCCAGGTCCTGAAGCGCTCAGAATTTGTGTCGCCCTCTGAGAATGTCATCTGCCTCAGTCAAGAAATCTTTGCCAAAACTTTAGGCCAACGTGAGCCGATGTGGCTGCTTTGGTCTCCGAACGCTCCAGTACTTGCCATTGTTTGTGGAGGCGAATGGAGATGCGAATCGCGGCCAGTACTACAAGGAAAAAAGTGTGGTTGAATAATATGGGATGTTTCAGGAAAGCATCGGTGTATCCAAAGACAACTGCGCGCAAAACATCACGAAGACAGAAAGCATGCGCTCCCTCCTTGTCGCGACTGAGTCATCCATTTTCCAAGCCTGAATGAAAATCATTACGCAAAGAAGCAACCTACAGCAAACCTACAATTCACCAGATCCGCTAGAAGTCAACTATGCAGGGCCCCCGCCTTGGGGTATCCATTTCGGGCATCGCCTCGAGGGTCTACCTCAAAGCCTGAGACTTGCAAGAAATACTTGCGCTCATTGTTCTCATGGTTCATCTGTCATGTTTCATTTTGGTTCCAACTTGGAGAATGCCAATACCATAGCCGCTACTGTAACCCCATTACTGTATCTCAGTACTGAAGCAATCAAGGTTTCAACGCCAGTGCAGCACCCAAAACTTACTGTATATTATGACCAGAAATCCGCCACAACTTAAAAGCTACATGTTTTTTCGTTCTGTTAGGGGTATCTGTCAGGGGCATCAGCTCGCAGTAGCGGAGTCTTGTCAGCTCCTAACAAAGGCCCTACACCCAAAATGTGAATACCAGTGGGAACAACCTTTTTCAACAACTTTCTTGAATATCTTGAGATCTCATGAAATCTTCCCACAGGTTTTGAGGATGGCTCATCCTATCGACGCTGTGGAGTGTGGACGCTGCATGGTCTTGGGTTGTTGACAGCATTGCTGAAAGCTCTTCCAGCAAACGACCATGGCGAAGAGACTATGCGGATAAAAACAACCCCGCTGCTTGGCGTCCGGTCACTCGTTTTGAGCCCGCTGGCCCTATCATAATTGCTTGGAGTCTAGCACCTGGAACGCATCCTTTCAAAAGTTGCTTTGGAAGGTTTGGACGTTCTCAGGCTCAGGATGTTGAAGCAGTCGACTGCTTCTTTGCCTCCTAAAGAAAGTCAGTTGCTCCGACCCTGTTGACTGTTGCAATCTTCTATGTGGTGCTATATAAAAGCGCGCACTGAGGTGTTATGTTCTCCTGTGCCGCGTTTTGCTCTGTCAACGTGTATTCTGCTGCAGTATGCTGCTTTTTGGCACGATACTTCTGCTGCCTTGTGTGCATGCGGCTTCCAGTCTGGTGCCTGTTGGAAAATGTTATAAATGTGGCTGCGCTTTGTTGCACGGTGCTGTGAAAGGCACCGGTGCTGTATTGAAATATTTGTTAAGCCCTTGCTATGTGGAGCTGAGCTGTGAGGTGTTATGTCATGTTGTCTTCTGCTGTGTGGCTTCTCATTAGTCCTGATGTGGTGTAAAGCGAAGTGTTGTCCTACAATTGGTGGCCTGCCATCCTGTGTCGGGGTCATGTCTGGAAGCTTGTGTGGTGGTGTGGTTTTTCGTGGCGCGCGGGCTTGCGTGGAGCCAACAACCTTTCCCAAATATGTAGCGGTTTCAATGGTTTCCACGAGCGTTTGGATACCAGGAACCAAACTACTAGGAGGCTTTCTCTTCGGGCTTTATTTTTTGTGTGTTTTTCCCGTTTCTTTTTGTTTTGTTTTTTCCCGTTTTCTGGCTGAGGTGGTTTTTCCTGGCATTTGCACCGCACCGTTTTGGAGCTTAGATCTCCATTTGCGTGGTACTTGCAGCACTTTGGAGTTTGGATCTCTCATTAGCAGTAGCATGGTGTCTGCAGCAGTTTGGAGCTTGGATCTCTCACTCGACTGGCATTTGTAACATTTTAAAATTTTGGAGCTTGGATCTCTCATGTACTTGCCTCAGGTTGATTTACGGTTGGTTTAAAGGTTAGTTTGGGTGGGTTTGTTTTTTTGAAGGCTGGCTTAGGGTTTCTTTAGGGTAAGATTCGTTTAGGGTTTATTTAGGGTTGGCTTAGGGTTTGTTTAGGGAGTCTGAGGTTTCTTTAGGGTTGGTTTCAGGCTTATTTAGGGCTGATTTAGGGTGTATTTGCAGTAAAGTTTGTTTAGTGGTTATTGGAGGCTGGTTTAAAATGCATTTACGGTTGCGATAGGGTTTGTTTAAGGTTTGTTGAAGGTTGGTATAAGCTTTGTTTAGGGTTGGCTTAGGTTGCATTTAGGGTTGGGTTAGGGTTTCTTGAGGGTTTGTATGGTTGTTTTATTTGTGGTTAGTTAAAAAGGCATTTAGGGTTGGTTTTTGGTTTGTTTGGGGTTTGTTGAGGGGTTGCTTAGGTTGCTTTAAGGTTTATTCAGGGTTGGTTTAGGGTTTGTTTGGAGTTATTTAGGGATGGTAATGGTTTAGGGTTTATTTAGGGTTGGTTCAGGCTTTGTTTAGGGTTAGTTTCAGTGTTTTTTAGGGTTGGAGTTGGATTAGGGTTTGTTTCATGGTTATTTGTGGCTGGTTTGAAATGCATTTATGGTTGGCTTTGTTTAGTTTAGGGTTTGTTCGGGGTTTGTTGAAGGTTGGTTTAGGGTTTGTGTGGGGTTGGTTTGCGTTTTTTGTGGGGTTAAGTAGGGTCGGTTTGGGGTTTACTTAGGGTTGGTTTAGGGTTTATTTGGTTCTTTTAAACTTATTTAAGGTTGGTTTAGGAGTTATTTGGTTCTTTTAAACTTGTCTTAGGTTGGTTTAGGAGTTATTTGCAGCTGGCTAAAGGGCTATTCAGTGTTGGTTTAGGCGTTATTTACAGTTGGTTTAAGTTTATTTCGGTATGGCTTAGGGTTTGTGTAGGCTACGGTTTATTCCTTCCTTCCTTCCTTCCTTCCTTCACCAGAAAATAGCCCTCCTTTCTCTTCTAGGATTGCAGGGTGATGTCTCCAGCTCTTTAGTGTGCTGTTTGACCTGCCACTGTGCTCCTGGTCTAGTGCTGCTGGTACACGGGGTATCTATGCCATCTCGTACCGCACGGTTATGTGCCCTGCTGCAGAAGACAGCGCCGAAGTTGCCCCAGGCGATTTCAATTGCAACAAATCTGCACACACCGCTCACCGATACTGGGAGGAAATAGGCTTGCAAAATCTTGCAAGCAAGCAGAGAATTCAAAGAGCTGGCGCTACCTTTCTTGACATCCACCACTGTCACATGCTAAGGAGACTCCACGAATCTGATCACAGCATGAGCTGGCCAAGACCAGCTCGACTTCCAGCCCCCAGAAATGGTTCCAATATGACAGACGTATCACAACATCCTGCCAGCACAAGCTGGACACTGCAAAAGAATCGATCACAGCACGAGGGAGACATGGTGGAGACTGGAGACTCAGTGGAGACTCAGTGGAGACTCAGTGGAGACTCAGTGGAGACTCAGTGGAGACACTGCTACTACAGCACATCATAGCACATCGTCCAACCGTCCAACCATCTTTTCAGGCGGTGCCCCAAATTGTCTGTTTTCAATTTTCAAGATTCTTAGAAAACACAACAAGCAGAGGCAATCCACTTAGAATCTGCAATCTGGACAGCATCATATACTTGAAGAAGAGGACCAGGACATAGCAAATAGTATTAGAAAACCACCAGACCACACGTCTTTGACATCACCGCAACACTCACCACAAGCTGACGAGACACGATCCCAACAGCTCACGACTGCACTGCAAAACCACAACACAACACCTGCCAAACGCCGATGGACATGGCAGCAATGCAAGCCCGGTGGCTGAGGACCCTGCCCTCAGTTGGAGCAACCCCTCCTCGCTGTGCCAGTGTCAAACAGCATGGCTCTCTTGAAATCTCACAATTTGGAAAACTATCCATGTCACAACATGTCACAACATGTCACACCATGTCACACCATGTCACACCATGTCACACCATGTCACACCATGTCACACCATGTCACACCATGTCACACCATGTCACACCATGTCACACCATATCACACCATGTCACACCATGTCACACCATGTCACACCATGTCACACCATGTCACACCATGTCACACCATATCACACCATGTCACACCATGTCATGTCACACCATATCACACCATGTCACAACATGTCACATGCAACATGTCACATGCAACATGTCACATGCAACATGTCACATGCAACATGTCACATGCAACATGTCACATGCAACATGTCACATGCAACATGTCACATGCAACACATGCAACATGTCACATGCAACATGTCACATGCAACATGTCACACGCAACATGTCACATGCAACATGTCACATGCAACATGTCACATGCAACATGTCACATGCAACATGTCACATGCAACATGTCACATGCAACATGTCACATGCAACATGTCACATGCAACATGCAACATGTCACATGCAACATGCAACATGTCACATGCAACATGTCACACGCAACATGTCACATGCAACATGTCACATGCAACATGTCACATGCAACATGTCACATGCAACATGTCACATGCAACATGTCACATGCAACATGTCACATGCAACATGTCACAAGCAACATGTCACAAGCAACATGTCACAAGCAACATGTCACAACATGTCACAACATGTCAAAACATGTCCGTGCATGTCACAACATGTCACAACATGCCACAACATGCCACAACATGTCACAACATGCCACAACATGTCACAACATGTCACAACATGTCACAACATGTCACAACATGTCGCAACATGTCAAAACATGTCACAACATGTCACAACATCTCACAACATCTCACAACATCTCACAACATCTCACAACATGTCACAACATGTCACAACATGTCACAACATGTCAAAACATGTCCGTGCATGTCACAACATGTCACAACATGTCACAACATGTCACAACATGTCACAACATGTCACAACATGTCACAACATGTCACAACATGTCACAACATGTCACACATGTCACACTAAATGTAGCAACAGTACAAAAAATGTCGTACATGTCACAACATTGTCGATCAACATGGTCAAACATTTGTCCGTACATGTACCCCCCAAACAAAACATGTCGCAAATGTGCCAAACATGTACGTTGCAGGTCACCACATCACAACATGCACAAAGGTCCAATACTGTCACAACAGTCTAACAAACAGGTTACGCAACAGGTCACAAAAATGTCAAACATTGTCCAAAGCCATGTCACAAACATGTCACAACATGTCACAACATGTCACAACATTGTCACAACATGTCACAACATGTAACGAATTGTTCACAACAGTCAC